ATAGAATGGAATACAGAAAAGCACAAATGTAGATAGAGACTTCTTATGCACTATTTCCACAATAAGCCTACTCCATATTCAAGGGCTATTTAACTTTACAGTTTTTTTGCCCTGCATAGGGTACATTTTTATTAAAAGTAAATACAACTTTACAGGGCATTTTGTAGAGCTTGTGTGGAACAAGCTTGTTTTCTTGTCATTTCTTTTTGAACAGAATGACATTAAAATACTTTGTATTTCAGAACATACCTTTTATTTCATTAATAATTAAACTACTGAAAAGAAGGTAAGTTAAGGCCTGATAAAATGCCTGATTAGCAGTCTGGCTTATTTCCCAGGCTCTGAGGGACTCAGTCAAACACCAAGGCAAGGACAGCCTGCAAACTGACATGCACAACAACACCCTTGCAAAATCTGGCTCTGTCACAACTACCCAAATGGTGCACGCAATTTTAAAGGGCTGATCTTCTTTTCTCAGTTAACCCTTGCAAGCTTATTTCAGGACTGTATAAAGTACCAAGAGCCTTGATAAAAAAAAAAGAGAACAATGCAGTATAGCATTTAATATCCTTCAGACAAAATCTCACTGTATATACAACTTCCTAGGGACAATCTCTCACAATACATGACCAGCCTGCACCCCTGCACAAACAGTGACATTTATCCAAAAGATATGGATCACAAGGAAGCCCACAGCAGACACTTACAGACCACTGAAAACCAACAATAAAAGTGAATAGAGGGGGTAATGTCTTGCGATGTTTCCCAGCTCCAAGGCTATTGATACTTCAAAGGAATTTCTGCTACCTACAGACATTGCCTCTACAATTAAAAAAAGACCATGGGATAGATTATGGGCATTGACCATCAGAAGAAAAGATACAGTATAGAGAAGCAGGCACACATTTCTTTGCAAAAACTATGATCTGGAAAACGAAAGGAATGCTATAGCTAAAGTTCTTTCTCACTCTGCGTTGCAGGATAACTGCCTTCATGCAAGTGCGCGTACAGTCATGTAAAACTGGCTGCACCGGGCTTCAGGTGCTGAATCTGTACGTTATGCTAATAGATCCTGCAATGTGCGTGACACAAAGAGAGACTGATATCAGGTCATAGATGTTGCTACACGACAAGAATGCAAAGGTCAGGGAAACCGACATTTCGAAGCAGTGAATGAAACTCAATTTTTAAACTCCACGATTGTGCAGGCCGACAGAAGTGCAAATACAAATGCATGATTATTCATGTTTAGGGAGTCATTTTGTACTTGAAAAGCTTCCTTCAGCCAACTGTTGTAATGTTATTTTCGCACAAGGTGAACATTTTCACACAGAAACAAAGCTCATATGCTTACCAACGAGATGACAATATTTTTTTGTTTTTTACATAAGACTTTGGCCATAATTCTTTTTTTCAGGCTGTCTGTTAACTTGCCTAGAGTATATTTAAATTCATGCTGCTGACAATATCACAAGATACAGTATTATTTTTTAACTGATTGCTTTCTGTGCACATCAAAAAGTCAAAGTCAGTTGCACAGTGTCTTCAGACAACAATCCCTGATTTTTCATCCTTTTTTCTGAAATAAGGAATACTACAGTATTGTTTGTGAACATTATTGTTTGGCGTGACCCTCACCCAGGAGTGAGCAGCTTTCCAATATCAGGCTGATGGATACTTAGTACTCAAGAAAATACTCAAAAAATTGTACCTGTCTACACTTTAGGACTCAAGGGAATATGTCTGAGAAGACAGAGCCCTGATTTTCATCAGGGAATGCCATTTTCATTTCATGAAAAATCAGAGAAGGAGGGCAAGCTAAAATACTAATACTAGATTTGGAACATTCTTAATAAAAACCAGATCAGATCAGAAAAGCTTTGGAAAAAACTAAAATGTTCTGCGATTTTTTAAAACAAAACCTAACATCATCCAGGCAAACCTTAACATATTTTCACCACCATAGCCTTGGGTCCCGGGGTATTATGCAAGGAAAGATGAACAATTTTTAATTACATGAAAAACACTGAGGGAATATCGAGAAAGATGAAAACTCAAAAATGACAGATACAATAAAGACGTGCTAAATCTTTTTACGTTGCATAATCATGTCCTACAGAAGTCAGAACGTCTTCGTTTTTATTTTCTTTAAAGCTCTCTCACAGGGCCCGTTAGACAGTGTCTGTGAATCCAAACCAGTGGGAGGCTCTCACGGGGTTTCCCCAATTTAGACCAGTGGCAAAAAAGACCTAACGCTATGGAACAATGTGCAGCTGATGTACGGTAGTTGTGAGTCAGATACAACTCAAAATTAAAAATTAGCATTCTGGATACCAAACCCCGTTGGTAAACGTGTCAGTGTATTAATCGCGGTCCAACGTTGAAGACTGAAATCAGTTTCAAGGCACTTAGTGTACACATGAGCCCTACCAGTACAGGATATTCCTGTGGCAGTAATGTGCTGTACAAAGTGCAGTCCAGCACGCACACGCGTTAACGCCAGCCTTCATAAATTCCAGGGTGTGACACACCGTGCATGTTAGAAACGATAACATAAATGGGTGAACGTTATGAAAGCGCAAAACATTATAGACATGAAAGAACAAAACAATAATAAACTTTTTAAAGTGCGGTAACTGCACCTAGGGTAGTTAAAATAAGTCTTTTTTTTACGTCAAGCATGAAAAGTCAAACGGTAAGAACAGAACGTTTCAGCGTATAGAACAAAAAGCAAGCATTATCATTCCAGTAATATTAGAAAGTTCAGACCTTTTACTTGTTGCACAGCCTGCTTTATATGTGAGCTTTTAACTTGTTCTTCTGCAAAGGAATCTTTAAACTGTACTTCTCGACTCGATGCAGGCCATATCGTACTGGATACCGCTTCTTTGACAGACCGAGCACTCCTCGTAAACGTCAGTATATAATCCATTTTGGGTTTTCGAAAGCGCACAGTTTCTACTACGTATCTTAAAAAACAACACCAAAAATTACTTCACTTCTCAGTACATGTCAGCGTAGTCGCCATGTTTCCTAATGCCAGTCGAGTGAAACGCTGTGAGACAACACGTTCAAACAGGAACTGAAATACAGT